GTAAGGCGGTGCTGCGGCGGCAGTGGGCTTGGGGCAAGGTGACTGGAGCAGCGGGTAGGGGAAGAAGTTCGAGGGCCATAAGTTTACCATTATTGGCAACGGGTTACTGCTCGTTATCTTCTCGTAGAAAGCATTTATTTTTCTTTATTTCTGCTTGGGTGCCTAGCCCTAGTTTTTGCAGGATTTTCTGCCGAGGGACGTAGTCGCTTTAGCAAGCAGACGTTGACGTTGGGGTATTAATTTGGTGGGTTTTTTGCTCGGCTTTTTGCAGTCAGTTGTGCTTTCCGGGCACTGTCGGTGAATAAATTTGACTTAAAGGAATTGAATGTTTCCAGGGTAGTGTATGTTCTTAACCCTCCTAACTGTCTGCCACTGTATGTGGAAGCTGAAGTGATCCGCATGTTGTCTGTGAGGTCATATGAGTCAGTCCGGACAAAATAGTCCATTTAAGAAGTAAAAACAAAGTTTAAGTGTAGAAGGTTGCTGTTTGGTGGTTAGTGCAGATAATAGCAGCGTTGGAAAAAAGTAAGGAATCACTGTGATGTTGTGGTTTGGTTTACATTGTTTTAGATTTCTATGGAATACGCTTCATGTAAAGTTTTTTTGTAGGGTAGATGTCCATAAAATTTTTTTTTTTTTGTCAGAGTGGTGAAAGTTTGCTGTCTCATATTTATTGTGTAATTAGATTGTATAGGAAGTTCCCATTAGATTTTGTTAGAACTGATAATTAAAATTATTTCTGGTGCTTGATTCTTAATGGTGTTACTCTTAAGACTGATGGGATAGGATACAGTCAGGTTGTGTTTAAACAGATGTGAGCTGCCACCGTGGATGAGCGATGAAATCGAAATATTTACTTTGTCATCTGTAAATTTCTGCTTATACAATCGTTTATCCAGATAGGCTTGAGTTTTTTTATTCTTTGGAGTTTTTGTTCTTTTTTTTTAATCACTGACAGTGGTCAAGTCATAATTAGCAGACAAAGAGTATTTCTGTGTTTCGTATTTTAATTTGCTTTTAATTTTCTGCCCTATGAAAGGGATGTTTCTGACTGAATAGCAGCTGTTAATGCACATTTGTTTGTAACTGAACTTATTTGTACTGTAAATACAATGTTATTTTTATGCTGCTTTTGGAAGAGAAATGCTGTTTCGCTGCTTAAAAGAAGTGAATATAAATCTTGCATACTCTTTTAGTTTGAAATTGTCTGCTCTTATCTCCTCTGTTTGCCAAATCAGATTTTTGCTTGGACCCTTCCTTGAATAGATCTAACGCTTGTGGCCAGCAGAGGAAAAATGGCCTCCTCAGGTTACTTTCCTGCTGTTTCAGGTGTGTTAAATTTGTTCATAGAAGGATCCAACACACCTCAGAGTCAGCAAAAGATGAGTTGCAGGAGAGCCCAGTTGGGAGTGTCTGTAATGAAAAGGACTCATTTGGACCTTCCCCCTTCAGCATTGATGAACTGTAAGAAATCTGTCCTCTACCATTTTTCTGTTTCTTTTTTTGTGCTTTTCCTGATGCTTGTATTGATCTGTCTGAGATAATTTAACTCATCAGGTTGAACACTAACAGTGACAGTTCAGTCAGGGGAATCATCTTGTGGGATTCAGTTGAGCAGTATACCCCATGCAAGGGAGAGACAGGAACTGTGTGTTCATATTGCCCTTTTTGTGTCACTAGGCTGCTAAATATATCTTGAAATGTGTTTTTAAATAAATTGGATAGATGTATGTATAGAAGAGGGTGGGGGGAACTCATCCTGCTCCTGTCTTTTGCATAGTTGTTTAAGGTTCCAAATATAAATCAGGCCCACCTAGCCCAGAAGGGATTTACTGGAAAGTATGTATCAGACTAGCTTATTCCGTTAAATTTTCCCTGTCTTCTCTTTTATTTCTGAACCAGCTGATATGTGAGTCTTTTAACATGTCTGAATGCTACTCCAGTAGCTAGGTTAAGCATGCTGTTGCCTGACCAAAAGGGAAAAAAAGCTAAGGTTCAATATCTGTGATCTGAGATGAATGCACCTCTTTTTCATTAGTCTCCAGTAAAAAAATATTGTGCTCTGAACTTGCCACTCTTCAGTGGGAAAGCAGAATGCAAGCCAGGAAATTGCAGCCCGTGTTTAGCAATTGCACAGCGATGAATCTGACTCTCATATATCTCATCAGTAACAGCAAGAATACTTGCTGTGGATGTATAGATATCTACAAACATAAAGAGCTGTTCCCACAAGAATTCTGATGCAGCTTCATGTTAATTTGAATGCCTTCTAACTGTAAACTTCCAGGGAAAGACTTCATCCACCTCTCTCAGCACCGCTTCTTTTGCATCAGCTACAGCAATTGTGCAGTTCAGGGACCACTTCTGCATTCCCCTACCACAGAAAATGTGGAGAAATGCCAGCAGGAAAGCTAGCACACATGCTGGCTTCAGATTCAGTAGTATATAGTAGAGCTGCAATTACAATGCTAACTTTTTTTCTGGTGTGGATTGTGTCTTTTTTTAATGTCAAGCTGTAAAACTTCACTTGTGGCACAGCTTAAGATTTTGAGATAGACAAGTTGCCAAACTCTGGAGGACTTCATTTGCTGTCTTACTCCAATTTCATCCAGTACAGGAGTCCTTACCTGCTGCCTTGTAACATTGTACAATGCATCTTCTATAGATACTGTCAACTAGCTGTATCCTTGGAGTTTGCTTTACTCTCCTTTTCCAGAATAGAGAAAATAGAATCAGTCATAGTAATATAAAGTGGAAAGAGCTAAGAATTTTGGAGTTTAGGAGAACAAATATGAGATTCCAAAATTAATACCTTTTCTGTTATTTTTCCCTTTCCATGCTTCCGCTTAGTTCACTGTTATATTTAAAGTGCTTGGAACATAGATCTGCTGTCCTAAAGCTGGTGAATCCTTCATCTACCAAAATCAGCATATCCCTTTTGGTTTCAGGCAAAGTGAAGCTGAGTCAGAAACATGGACAAATTTTAAAAGTTCTGTGACCAAATGTGGTCATTTATACCTCTTCTAGCATGAATTTTCTTAAACTTTTGCCCTTTTGATCCGGGTGAATTAGTTGTAGCTTTTTTTTTTTTTCTAGAGCAGCTCAGAACTAATTATGCAACAAATAAGTACTGCTTTCCTCTGCTTCAGTGGGGTGACCTAGCTTGTTGTTAACTTGCCCTGTTTTGTTTTTTTGTACTTGTAGGTGAACCACAAAATTCACCCTCCTAACACAACAACAACAACAAAAATAGTGGGGCAGGAGGGGAGGTAATTTAGGGTGCACGTTCTTCAGGATTTTAAGGAGAGAGGTCCCCCATCTTTGCTTATGGCACTCAGACTATTTTCCAGTCTCGTTTTTTTTTTTTTGTGGAGACTTTTTTGTTAAGCTTTCATTTGTAGGTCAGCTTTCCTACAAAGCTTGTGTGACATGGGGAGCCAACTTGGACCTTATTCAGAGGCCTGAATGCATCCTGTGACGTATTTTAATTCTTTTATTGGCTTAACTTGATCCATCCAACTAAAACTGTGGAAATAAATGAAGAAGGCTTTAATTTTTGCCTTGTGGCCGACCTGTAATGTTAAAGGAAATTTTTTGGATTGTAAATACTAGTTCTATTGTAGTTTATGTATCCAGACTTTTAATAGGGTTTTTTTTAACATTTTTTTTTTCCCCAGATGGTGAACTGAACGTTCTAGATGACATTTTGACTGATGCTCCTGACCAAGATGATGAGTTGTATAACCCCGACAGTGAGCAAGATAAAAGTGAGAAAAAGGGTAGGTGACTTTAGTAGTGGATATACTGCAGGAACGTAAATGATAAAAACCGTCTTTCTTATTAGGTCTAATGTCTTTGAAGTAGTGGCTCTTATAACCTGATTCACAGAGTGAAAGAGTCTAAAAGTCTTTATTTCATGGACATCTGCTTTTTCACCTGACTTTCCAAGCAAACGGTTAACTAGATGTCCTGTTGTCTCAAAAGCCGTTGCTGATTCTGGCTTGTTATGAGTTCATTTTCTGTTAGAAAATGACTGTCCTTTCTGGTGAAGTGATATGGAAGTGGTGCAAGGGGGTCCCAAAGTCTGGTTCCAGCTCAGTTCTTTCTTGATTTGGCTTTAGGCCAATCCCATAAGCATTTAATTTAGCATTCCCATATGTAAAATTTAGAAAACACGTATCAAAGCCTAAAGGATTGCTCTTTTAGAGTAAAATACGTGGTTTAGAACATGAGCTGTTCCTAACAAGCAGTTTTGAGTGTTGTTGCAAAGCCTACAATTAGAAGATGCTCGCTATGACTGCAACGGGAATTACCCAAAGTGGAGAAAGTAGGTGCCTCTGCACAGTTTTTTGATATACAAAATGGCATTGAACTTCGTATCTCTTTCTCTTTAAGGATCGAAAAGGAAAGCTGACAGGATGGAAAATGCTGAAAGTAAGAGACAAAAACCTTCTGTGCATTCATCAAGGCAGATGATGCCAAAGCCTCCTACTTCTTCAGTTAGCAATAACAAGAGAATAGTGAGTACAAAAGGAAAGCCAGTATCAGAATACAAGAATGAGGAGTATCAGAGGTCCGATAGAAGCAAGCGCCCAGATGGTGATCGAAAGACACGCATATCGGGCAGTTCCAGGGAACCTTATAAAGGACAACCAGAAAAAACTTGCATGAGGAGGAGGGATATTGACAGAAGGGCGAAGTCTTCTACACCAGATGGTTCAGAGGTATTAAATATTCTTGCTGCCTTATAAATAAAGCAATTATAGGAGACTTCTATAAGGCACATTCTCTTAGGACTGTGTGTGCATCTTGACAGTGTTACTTGACTGCTGATTCACTTTTTCTTTAAACATCAGAGAATCAGGCATGATGTGGATAGAAGACCAAGCAGGTCCAGCCATTCTTCTAAAGAAGAGGTGAACTCTGAGGAGTATTGTTCAGATCATGAGACTGGCAGTAGTGGTTCTTCTGAACAAGGCAATACGGAGAATGAGGAGGAAGGAATGGAAGAAGAGGAAGATGATGAAGTGGAGGAGGACGAAGAGGTAGAAGAAGATGGGGAGGAGGATGAAGAAGAATATGAACATGATGAGAGAGATCAGAAGGAAGGAAATGACTATGACACACGAAGTGAAGCCAGCGATTCTGATTCTGAATCCGCTTCTTTCACAGATGGATCAGTCAGATCTGCGTCTGGTTCAGATGCATCAGGTAGGTAACATCTGGTATGCTAATCTTGCCATTGAAAGTTTGGCTGCTTTTAAAAATAACCACTTCCTGACTATGTCAAGAATAAGCCTTAGTAGCACAAGTCAGTAAGATGTTAAGTATGAAATAACGCAGGCAAGGGAAAAATGTACTGGAAAGTGGTAATTCCTACAACAAATGTTGTATATATCAGGATTACCATGCTGAGGATTCGTAGTGTTCTTGATTGCTTTGGCCTTACTGTTCAATGCTTTGAAACATTGGAATTGATGTTTTCTTAAGGATCTAATGTCTTAGTTTCCTATAAAATTCATTTTAATTTGGTGTTGAGCTGTTCTGTATTCATACAGGTAAGTGACCATGTACACTGGTGTAGTAAAAGTACCATCTCCCCAGCGAAGGGTAGATGCATCTTAAATAGTGTCTGGCTTCAGCAAAGGAAATCTAAACCGAAGTTGACAGGAGTAGCAGTTAGGGCAAACTTAGAGGAATGTTTTAAGCAGAAAATAGGAACAAATGCTTCACAGTTGTATATTATAACTGGTTTTAACTTACAGATGTGAAGTGTTAATGATGTAAATACTTTTGGTTTTGGTTGGGTTTTTTTGTTTTTTTTAGGTTTTTTTGGTGTGTTGGTTTTTTTTTTTAAGAAAGTGGTTTGCAATCCTGTTAAGATTCCTCTTGTGTATCTTCCTTGTCTGAAGTCGCCATAGGTGGTCATCCTGCTTAACATAATGCCTTTTTTGGCTCAGCTCTGCTGTTTGGAATTAAAGAACAGAAAGGTGTAACCTAAAGACAAGTGAAGCTGTAATAACTGTTCTAAAAAGCTATATAGTATAACGTAACACTTAAGAGTGGAAATAATTGCCTGTGTGCCACAGTGTTTTGTTTTCATACCTCTTGCCATTTTGCTGAGCTCTGAGCGAATGAGCCGATATCACTATCGCAGCACAGTTTGTGCTCGGTGTTGCAAATTTGGCTGAAGGCTTGGAGAGAAGAGCTAAACCACCCTTACTAAAACACCTAGGAGATAAATTCTGTTTCTAAACTTTGCACAGAATTAGTAGATTTGTGGCATTTGTCTTCCTTCTGTGGATGAAAAGCTTAAGTAACTAGCATTTGCTTCTTTTGTGCGTGATAGTTTGGGAGCAACAGCCACAATTTTCACGTGCAAGCCAAATGCTAACTTCACTGTTACAGATGTAATTTTACTGTCTCAATACTTTTCATCTCAATTTTGCCTGCCACTTGATTTTTAAAATACTGCTTTTATGGGATTTTTTTTAGATGAGAAAAAGAAGGAAAGGAAGAGAGCTAGAGGTATCTCTCCAATTGTTTTTGACAGAAGTGGAAGTTCTGCATCAGAATCATATGCAGGTATTCTTTCCTTTTATTGCTTGTCATCCTGACTTGCATAAAATCTTAATGTGTAATCTAAAATAAATATAACTGGCTGTATAGAGATTTATGGGGTATGTAGCTTTGTATAATTTGGTATTGACTTCTGGCATGTTATGTGTGGATACCTTTGAGGGGAAGTAGGCTTTCTTGTTACCTTAATGCTATTCTGTTGCTTAAGTGGAATTTTCACTTTTTTTTTCTTTTTTTAAACTTGGAAGATGATGATTCAGTGACTAGTTTTCTGAGTAGGAAATTGTTCAAATACTGTTTTAAAAAACCAAACCAAACAACCCAAAAACAAAACCAAAAAAACCAAAACAAAACACTCGTGCACATTGAATAGTATTTTTTGTGTGTGTGGGTGCGCGCCCGAAAGCGTAATTTGTCATGAATGAAAATTGTATGTGACAAGGCTGTAGAAATTGTATATTATCTCTATTAAGGCTCAATCTGAACAAATGTACTTTGGCTAAACACAGGTTCAGAAAAGAAGCATGAGAAATTATCATCTTCCGTTCGTGCTGTCCAAAAAGGTATCATTTAAATTTGAATTTTTAATGCATGCCCCATAGCAAGCCATTGTCTCCGTTCATTAATTTACCTGTAAGTAGTAATGTTCCGATATAAATCAGTTTAAGTGCGTGATTGTTCTGAGCATAACAAGTGAATCCTGAGCTACTTTTGCATGTGTTCAGAGTGGTATGCAAAAACTTCGGTCGCTTTGCTCCTTACAGAGGTGACAAAGCAAAAAATAAAGTGCTTACATCTGAAAAGGGGAACATTTCAGCATTCTCTATTGGATGAGTCGTGCTGATACAAATGTTACCCAGTATTTATCCAAAGATTCTTAAGCAAGGAAAAAAGTCCTGTATATCGGAACATCACTGAATCATGCTGATTTTATTTTTTCTTTACCTGAATATGTAAGTTTTAGTTTTGATTTGGTTTCCCCTGGCATTTTGTGCTCTACAGCTTAGACTTGAAGTTTCAAATTGGGTGGTTGACTGTAATAATACATAGGTAGGAACTGGGTGGGATCCAGTGTGTTTTGAAGGAAGTGAACAACTGTCTACACTCAAAGAAACTTTTTTGACAACAACAGTTTAGCTTATTTGACGCTTTGTTTTTTCAGACCAAACAAGTAAACTTAAATACATTCTTCAAGATGCAAGATTCTTTCTCATCAAGAGTAATAATCATGAAAATGTATCACTTGCTAAAGCAAAGGTATGTTGAATTTTCTTCAAAATGATCTATTTCCAAATGCACCCACCTTACTATAGAAAAGCACATAGATAGATGCATTCTTTTCTCCCTCACTCTGATCTTGATAGAGGCAAGGATAAAAGTTCCTGCTCCTTGATTCTTCCAAGGGTAGCTATTGTGCTTCCACTAAACCTAGAAAAGTTTCTAGACCATCAGTCATTTATCTTGATAAGAGTAGAGTTAAAAAGGAGCCTCGAGGTCTGTTTGATAGCATCCTAAGCCAACCTCTATTGGGAATACTGCAATGGTATTTTCTCCCTTTCATCAGCACCTGCGTTCATATTGTTGTACAGTAAGGAGGTTCAGGAGGTTGTTTTGGCTTTCATCTAATGCTGTAAAAGTAATTTATTTTTTTTTTCAGTTGATTCAGAGATCTGAAGCCTTACTGCAGAAATGTATGCCTGGCAATGCTGGTGTAAGGGAGTTCATTGGGAGGGATCCCAGTCCGCTGGACTTCAGCTGCTGAGGAGTGGCACTAGGCCACTCTGGTGGCTTTGTATTTGCACGTGTTATTTGAAACAGCTTGTAGAGAAAATAGCTGATTTTCTGTTGCACAATATACACAGAGTAGGTGATTCTATTAATGAAGATTTTCTAAAATAGGATAGCATTAAAATGGTTAAATGAATCTTAAAATTCCTGGGCAGGTTTGGCTCCCCTCCCCCAGCTTTGGATCTGTGCAGTGAATGACATTCTGACTGGTGTTTGCTTTAGCTCGTTGCAGGATTGTATCCTTTCTGTGCTTCATGTGCACGTGGGGCTGCAACAGTGTGCTTGTTCCTAAAGCTCTTGGAGTAGATGCTTTGCCTCTCAGTGTATAGGCATCAGTGCTTTGCCACTGCATTTTTGTGAAACTGGCTTTTGTGGTGCCAATGCAGCAAGTTTTTCTAGTTCACAGCAGGGCTTCACAAACAGCAAAAGCAGTATACAGCTGACTGAAAGTAAAAAAAAAAAACAAAACCACAAATACATCTCTGGTGACTCTTAATGAATTGTCAGTCAGGCAAGCAACTAATCTGGGCACAGAGTAGGACATGAGAACACCCTTCAATAAAAAAGTAAGGGGAGGAGCGTTTTCTTTGGTAGATACTAGAGAATAGTCTGAAATTTGAAGATATTAAACCAGCATAAGCCTCTCCTCTGTCTGCCCAGTGAATGGTTTTGGGAGCTGATCTTGCTGAAAAGTAATAGAGCAAACTGGTATTCTATAGCTCAGCTCAGTTGGTACCCTAAAACAGATTGGGTTTTATTGTGCATGGCTACACAGGGGCTGATGAAAAGGAAAAGTTAGCAATTAGTAGGTGGGTATATGGGAGGCTAACCAAACTGTTTTGAGTTGTGTTCCCAATTTAAAATGTTGGCCTGGTGTCTTTCATGTTTCTGCCCTTTCGCTAAAAGAGTTTTAAAGTGTGCAAGAAGTCCTTAACAAATCTCTCATACTGAGAAGGTTACTGAAGTCTGCCTGCCCACCCTTCAGAATATGTGCTGCTGGGTTTCCATAATCTGTGTGTATTATATAATATATGAACTCCCAAAGTCACTTAAAACGTACATTAAAAATACTAAAGGCAAAGGTTTTCACATACCTGTCCATCATTATAATTACAAATGAAACCTTATAGATGGTCTAAATGCATCTGCAGTGTTCAAAAAAAGATTAAAAATCCAGTGTTTTCAAAGTCTTATCATGGGGCAGGTTGAAAATATTTTCTGAAGGAGCTGAATTTAGAATACCTTTATCTTCCCATTGTGTTCTATCCCAGAACACTAGTTTGGTCTTATTTTCCTTATCTGCACTATATACTTCTGTTGGCTAAATCACTTGAGATGAACTTTCCTATTTTGGTGATGTGGTGGGGGTTATTTTGTTTTAGGGAGTATGGTCAACACTTCCAGTGAATGAAAAGAAGCTGAATGCTGCATTTAGATCAGCGAGGAGTGTTATTTTGATATTTTCTGTAAGAGAGAGTGGCAAATTCCAAGGTAAGGGAAAGTGAGCTATCACAAAGGTAAGCAAAAGTGACTTTTATGTGCAACCGCTTTTCTGTTGTGTCTTTGTTACAATTCATGTGAAATCCTTCAGGATTTGCAAGGCTGTCTTCAGAGTCCCATCATGGAGGATCACCTATACACTGGGTACTGCCTGCAGGAATGAATGCAAAAATGTTGGGAGGTGTCTTTAAAATTGACTGGATTTGCAGGTAAACATTTTTTAATTTATGTTGCTGTTTAGTAACAAGGCATTATACTATCTTTTCTGGGTGTTACTCACTTGACTGCCAACAGCATCCTCTTGAAAACTTGATTCAACCGGAGATATGTCTTCCACTCACCCCACATCGATGCCTCCACGTTAGTGGGCTTGGGACTCAGGTCTGTACCTGACATGCACTGTAGAAAATAGATTTCTTTTTTTTTATAATGTAGACAATTAATTAATTCAGAGATTTTTAACACTTGATTGTGTTCTGTCACTGATCTCTTGTGCTGAAACCAGAAAACTGTATTCTGAAGTGTTTGAGTAAAAACAGCTGCTCACTTGAATAGACAGCTGTGGATAAAATGGAGAAAAATCCTCTAGGGACAGATCTATCTTCATCTGATGTCTTGGTATCTGAACCAAGAAAATGCTGCTGCTTTAAAATAACATATGAAATAGTGCAGAGATTTTGCATAATCTGTAGGTTGTGAGCAGTATGTTCATTGATTTGACTGGACATGTCTTACAGAAATGGTTTTAAATCTCTCTTAAATTAAGAGCTATGTCAGTCCTGTGAGGTACATTGCATGGTTGTACATGCACTTCAGGTTACCAGAAACACTAAGTACAGGGAAGATGAGACTTCGAGTTACAGAAAAATCTAGGTTGGAAAGGTCCTCTGGAAGTTGCTGATTTCCACCTCCAGCTTCGTAGTTAGGTTGGATGCTCAGGGATTTATTTCAGTAGGTACCATGAGCTACCACCTCATGTAGAGACTTGTCCACGTATTCGGATGGTGAGATAATAAGCAAGCGTGATCTTGATATTGTACAAAAAGAAAAAAAAAAATCTTTAGTAAGATAGGCTGTCCATAGTGTGGACTATGCTAATTAATATTGGAATAAGTCATAGTGAAATCTTTAGTTGCTAATACTTAATACATGCCAGTACGTTCATTCAGAGACCTGACAGTGCAAAGGATAACAGGATTATTTTGTATGTAATGTCCTGCTGTATGAATTTTTAATTTTTTATGAAAAATGGAGGCAAAACTGTAAATGATGCCACTTGCATATTTAGGCGTGAGTTGCCGTTCACAAAGTCTGCACACCTGACCAATCCTTGGAACGAACATAAGCCAGTAAAGATTGGACGTGATGGACAGGTTTGTTACTTTTTTTTTTTCTTAGTAAACCACATCTTCTAGTGCTTGCTTTCAGCTTTGTATTTACAGAATATTTAGAATCTTTTTAGCTCAGTTGTTACTTGCAGTAGAGTACTGGAACAAGGGCACTTTCCTTGTTTCTAATGTTGTTGCAGAAGAAGGAAACGGAAAACAATATGGTGCCAGTTCTGTTGTCATCTTTGTGATAACCAGTATTTGATTCTTCAAAACTATGTGATAGTTTGGATTTGAATTGTAACGTGCTTTGCATTGTGTGGTGTGCAAATCTATATAGTATCGGTTTTTAAGAACAAGTTCTGGTGTTTCCAGCTGTGTTCTGCATTGCATTTTATTATATACTGTATTGCTTAAGGCATAGACTCTACAATTATAAAATACATGTTCAGTAAATTTTCAGTGGGGTGGCTCTTTGTCTTGTCAGGCATACCAGAGTGCAGGTACGTTTCATCAAGTAACCCAGCCTTGACTAAAATAATGGGTTCTGCTTTCTTAAGGCAAGATGGGAGTTGCATAATCCCATACTGTATGAAAATGTAGACTCTGTGTGTTATTTTGCACATAAACATGTTCACTTCGTTGGGTAGCACAAGTAAAACAGTGTTTTCAGTCTTGTTTTGCATTTAGTGTGACCTTAAAAAAAAAAATTATTTCAGTTAACTTTGTTTCTGTTAAATGGTCAAGGAAATAAATATTTTAACGTTTTGTCCATTTCACTGTAGAGTTGCAGTCTGGACTTGGGTTTCATATTTTTTCATAGAATTGCTGTACTGTTAGGTACTGGACAAGCATTGTCTGATGCTTGCTCACCCTGCTTTTTGACTTGGGTAATTTCCTGCAGTGGTTGTTGTTTATGTCTTTACATTTTGTCTAACCCTGAATGGATCTCTCTTCTGGGGATGTGTACACTGGACTGATTGAATTTACCACGTCCTTTGGGAAGGCATTCCGCAGGCCTGCTAATCACCAGGTTGAAGAAGCGCTGTTTTGAATGGTTTTGCACCTGGCTCCTACTAGCTTCATTTGATGGCCCTGAGTTCTTGTACTGGAAGAGGGAGTCAACAAGTTGATCTCTGTCCCCGTCTCCTTCAAACAATTTGTGGTGTCGAATGCTCCAGTTATATCTGTCTTGTCCCCCATACCCCACATATTCCTCTTTTATTCTAGGCTAGAGAGACCCAACCTGCTCAGTCATTGCATGTAGGAATTGTTGCACTCATTCGGTAAATCTTAGTGCCCTGCTTTGAAGCTTTTCCATTTCTACTGTCCCCCTATTTTTTTGAAATGAAGGGGTCAGAACTGCACCCAGTATTTAAGGTGTGGGTGGAACATGGACTTCCAGTGTGGTATAATGACTTTCTGTGTTCCTTTCCTAATACTCCTGAACACACAATTTGCTTGTTTTGACTCCTGTCAGGCACTAAGCTGGTATTTTCATGGACCTGTCTGTCATACACTGAAGAGCTCCCTCTGGAGTGGTAGTAGTCAACTTCATCAGGCCATGGCTTTATGTGTGAAGCTGGGATGGATTTTTTTCCTACGTGTGTCACTTTTCTCTCTGTAATAGGTGATCATTTTCTTTGTGATGAAAAACAGTCCTCTGATTTTGTAGCAAAACAGTGATGTGGCCAGTATGTCTCATGGGAAGATATGGTTGCCCCAAGTGTTGGACTATTTTATGAAAATTCTAAGTAGTGCCTAAAGAGCGAAAGGTAATGTAAGTGAATTTTGCTCTGTCTCTAGTGATACTGAAATCTCTTCAAAGTGTCTTTTTTTTTTTTTTTTATGTTGTCAGTGTATTTGGGGAGAGTTTCATTTCTTCAGTTTATAAACCACTACTGAACTTCTAACTAATTCTAGGAAATTGAGCCGGAATGTGGAACCCAACTTTGTCTTCTCTTCCCTCCTGATGAAAGTATTGACTTGTATCAAGTCATTCATAAAATGAGGCACAAGAGAAGAATGCACTCACAACCCCGATCAAGAGGACGCCCGTCCCGTCGAGACCCTGTTCGGGACGTGGGAAGGTTAGAAACGTTCTTTGGACTGATAATAGGCGCATGTGTCAGAATAACGTGATGGAGGAATATGATTCGTCAAAGCTTTCCCTGCGATAAAGAAGAGAGAAAATCCTCAAATCAAGCTGCATGGACAAGTTTGTGGCTTCATTGAGGATTTCACATGGTTCCCCGGTCTGTCATTTTTCAAGAGGAAAATGGGGATCTTTGCTTTTGCAGAAAAAAAGCTCTTAAAGTGCTGTCTAGTTTAGACTAGATCATTTATTGAGATACAGCAACGTGTAATGCTAGCTGTAGGTAAGCTTGGCTTGATTATGAGCAGGCTAGATAGAGAAGGAAATATTTATATGCCAAAAATGTGTTAATATCTTGTAAAAGCCTTTTCTTTCAGGTGTGTCTCTGGATAAGCCTTATCAAATATGGGACTTTTATAAGGATCACTTAGAATTTTGCAGAAGATGCCGCCTCATTTTGAGGATAAAATATTTAAGTTATTTTGATATTCAAGAGGAGCATTATTGGGACTGTTTCAAATTGTGTCACCGTGATGTGTTAACCCCATTGCCAAATATTCTCTAACATGTAACCACTGAATTCACACATCTTGCTGAGCTTCTGAAAACAGTAGGTTCTTTCCAAAAGGGATCACGTGGCCCTTGGAGACCCGGCAACAAACCAAAAAGAATGGCTGTTGCTGTGTCTGTATATACAACCTTTCCAGATGCTGGCAGTACCTGTGGACTTAAAGTATTTTTAGAGGATCGACATGGTTATTGAGCACTGCTATATGAACTTAACATCATTTTCCAGAAAAAAAGGGGGTGTAACTTGTTACAGAATTGGAGAAGTCTTTGCAAAGAACTGATATTAGCCGTTCTGCCAAACACCTTTTCCCCGTGTAGCCACTTTGCATACAGACTGATGTATGGTTTGGGCTGAAACCTTTGGTTAAGTTTCCTTTTTGTGGAAACGTCCTGTGGTAGGTACAGATACCCAACAAGAGTCCCCATTTCCTTGAGCTTAAAAAAAGGACACTGTAACGAGTAGGTAGGAGGAAACCTGGCAGCGCCCCCCTATTTTTGGCTTTAAAGGACTGAACACCAAGATGGCTTTTGAAGTTAAGCCAAGAGGTTTCCAGTGCAATAAAGTATATGCAAGTGAAGGTTTTGCAATGGACTGCAAACTATACATATAACACCACCACACCTTCTCAAGCTTGCCAGGGCCTCCATTTATGTATGTGGCTTACAGCTTAAAGTCAGTAGTTGGACTACTATATGAACTGTTTCTATCATATTTTATACCGGTCGTAAATGCACTCTCAAAACTACAAGAAAGCGGTATGTTTATTCTTTACACCAGCTTTTATTTCCTTGATCTGATTTTGCTGTAGATACAACTGCTTTGGTTTTGGGGCAGTAAAGAATCTGCTTTCATTTTGAAAAGCTTAGTAGCTGGGTATGGTGGGATTTAAAGACTGTAGTTGGGAAGGGGGTGGAGAAATGAGTCTTTATAAAACTAAAAGGTACATGAGCTTGTTACTCAGGGAGCAAGTTGCACAGTAATTAAGCAATTTAAGAAGGTGTTAATTTCTTGTCATAAGGAATTATATTGCTGGGGTGGGGGGCAAGGGAATGGATTTGTAGCTGCTTTGTGTTTAGAAACACTGATATGCTAGCATTGGAGTCTCCCATTAATGTTTATGTACCTTGATGGAACAAGATTAACGTCCAGTTTTCAGTTCTTTATGAAATGTAACAGCAACTGGGATGTAACTGTTTATAATCAAACTTCCTTCCTGAGAGGAAAGTTCTTAAAGATAACATCTCTTCCATCAAAGAGCTGTTTGTAGAGAAAGGAGACACAGTTATTTTAATTATTAGGAAGCTTAAGTATTCTTAAACTTCCTGTAAAAGGCACCGATGCATTGCTAGTAAATTGCTTCAAACAGATATTGTTAGAAATGATATAATTGACCTACCCAGTTAGAAAAGCTACAGTGAAAGAAGCAATTTCACAAAGCGTTAATAAGTTTTAATTATAAATGTTTCTGAAATAGACCTTTTATAGAAATCTTTATAGCTAGCAAATATAGCAATGTCCATGCCTTGTGACTGTAATGATATATTTTGCTGTCTGTTTTCACTGTATTTAGTTCTGTGTATTCTTTTGTTATCCGATAGGTTGTTTCAAAATGTAATGTGGAAAGTGTAATGTTAAAGCTTAAGTCTGAGTTTGTGTTAGACAAATTTGTTGCCCTTTGGTACAAAGGTATAGTTGGGTTCAGTTCCTTCCTTAAGTACCAAAGCTGTAGCCAGAAAGTAACAGTAGAGGGTATTTAATCAGACTGTTTCTCATGATTATTTGAGTTCAAATTTAAAGCTGTAGAACATTTTGAAGCAGATGGAATTCAGAATGGTTAAATTAAGATTCTGGGAAGCTCAGGCTATTCCTGTGAGATATTCTGCTGTGACGAATGCTCCAAGCAACCTTGTTTAATCTCTGATATCTAATTTGTGTAGGCGTCGGCCGGAAGATTATGATATTCATAACAGCAGAAAGAAACCAAGGATTGACTATCCCCCTGAGTTTCACCAAAGACCAGGTTAATATCTTGCTGTCAAGATTTGTGTGCACCAATTCACAAGTGTTTTCTCTTTTAGCATATCCTCATTTAATTCAAAAGTAAAATACTGATATGACTGGGATATAAAAATAGGACTTGTCCCAAGTGCTGCCTGCTGATTTAACCCACCTCTTGCAGAAGTCAGTGACACTGTCTCACTGGTTTGAGAGAGAGTGAGCTCAGTTAATCTAGGCTGAGTGCTTTTAAGAGCCTCAGAATTGTGTATATTGCTGTGAATGATCCTCTCAAGTGCTTTGTTAATACAGGTAGTTGAAGTGCCTGGCAGGCACAAGAGTTGGTTTCACCTACTTGTCAGTGCATTAGTTGTCAAATTAAAATGTTTGTCAGAAATACCCAACTGGGTAAGCAGCCTGTGCTTAGAGATGGCAGTAGACATTCAGTTATGTTTTCACAGAGAATTTTTTTACAAACGTGACATGAGGAAGGGAGGGGGAAGTTTTGCTGCATTTTACCAGAAGGTCTGATGATGAGTTTGAGAAAGGAATTTTGGTGTTCTCCAGAAAGAAGTGTTTGCAGTGGTAATGCAGCAATAACACTGGTAATATTGCAGATTTTTTTTTTATTCAGGAAGCAGTTATTAAGGAATTGTCACTTTTAATCTACCCGATCTTGCTTCGCTGCTATTAGGAATACGTATTCCATTGTTTCAGTAGCAGATTTCTAAACCTTTCTTTAGAACCTGCCTTTATCTGTCCAGCTTGACTGCAAAACCTGTGTTCTTTGATGCAAAAACAGTGTTGCTGCTGCTTAGCTTTCCAGGACTATTATTTAGAGTACAGAACTTTTTCTTTTTTTTTTTTTTCTTTTGATAATTAAGCTCAGAAGCATTATTTATTAGCATAAGCATGCCTGGTGGTTTGCACTGTTTTCCTGAGCTCTTTGAAGTTTATTTCCTGGGATTTACTGAAGCTGTAACAATTCTTTATGCTGTGGCGCTTTTCCAGATGTTCAAGTTGTTTTTCGTTATCTGTGCGTAAGGAAATCAACCTTGAGAGCTGCCCAGATGAGCACATTCTACTGAATACACAGTTAATAAGCAGTAACAGCCATGTGCTGACTGCCAAGGGGGACAGTACCCTGCAAACTTGTGGGCATTCCCAATTCGTTTGACTAAAATTCAGGTCTTTATTTGCACGGATACCCCCTTACATATTTGTTTGTACTGTGTGCAAATTCCTATGGGAATGAGTTCCTATCATTTTTTTGTTACTACATTATACTATTTTTCTGTACCATCTGCCAGAAGTTGTAAGTTTTTTGAGAGTTATTTTGAAAGCAGAGGTAATGGCAGGTAGACACAACTTCATAGCTGGCACAAAAAGAAAGGACAATTTCTAATGAGTAGATTTTTTAAGACTGCTATCATAAGATGGTAAATTGAATTAATACTGCTTGATGTTCGAACAGGGTATATAAAGGATCCCAGATATCCTGAAGTAGACAGGTAAGGTGTGTTCATGTTATTTTATGCCCTGGTAACTTGTGTGTATGGATAAATTGGATTTAGTTCTACAAATTTTTATTCCCAACAGACGATTTTCAGGAGTTCGACGAGATGTATTTTTAAATGGGGTAAGTTAGTGCATGCAGACTTTTGGGGAACTTTTTATATTCAGCTTTCAGCGCTTCCAAAGAACACTCATTGCAAATGTTAATATCACTGTCTTTCATTTTAGTCCTACAATGATTACGTGAGGGAATTCCACAACATGGGACCACCACCACCATGGCAAGGAATGGTTTGTGTCGTGTTGAATTCACGTTTTCTCTGTCGAATATGGCTTTTTTTTATTGCCCTCTAGAGGAGCCTAGTGTATTCAATGTGCATTCAGTTCTTCCCTTTTCATAAAATACACCTTTGCTGTAACAAAATTTTTGGGGGGAAGAAATTATTTATATCAGGTACTTACTTAGCTCTCAGCAATAGCCCAGTATTCTAATAAGCAGTACGGCAGTAGGAATCTGGCTTGGTTTGAACCTACAAGAAACTGAAAGCTCTGAGGAAATAGCAGAACCCTCCTTCAGCCTACACAAGAGGGTGTCATGAAATTCTGTATTCCACTAAATGTTCATAGTAATTGGCTTTCTCTCAAACAGCAAATACATCAAAGAGGTGGATTTGCTGCAGAGGCTCATGGAATGGGCTGGCATGCTCTAACGTTGCGCAGTGGTTTGCTTTTGGCTATGGCAGTGAAGCATGCAGGAAAGTAGCAGTACTACACACCATAATCAAAAGAAGTCTTGCTGTATTGCAGCCTCTGTGGAAATGTGCTTTTTTGCCAGTCAGATGAGTGTATCTATGAGTAAACGTATCTACAACTACATGCATGGAAATAACTGATAGTTCACTTGTACAGCTGGTTTTGCCATCGTGTCTGGAGGAACAGTCATTATAACTAGTTATTTTGGTTATATTTAGTAATTCTGGCCCCGAGGGTTCAGATTTTGCATAAACGTAATGAGTCTTTTGGCTCTTGTGTATATTGTGAATGAGCAAAAGGCAGCACCAGGTGTAGAGATGCTACTGTAGCCTCTCATTTTTCTCAGCTGAAATACAGCTCTGGTTTGTCATAACTGAAGGAAGTGAGCAAAGTTGTCAGACTGGGAGGAGGAAAATACTTTGTTTCAAACACAGCTAAGCCTCCAGAAACTCCCCTTTTTGTTTTCTCCCACTCTTCCCCATTCTGCATGCTGTCCAAGTAGACATGCTAAAATCCAGCACTTCCATCTACTTCATTTGTGACAACAATGCAAGTACCAATGCATTGGTAATATGGGAAAGACAGACCTTGCTGAATGAAGAAATGGAAGAGAACAGCTAAGAGCCATGTGTGCATTCCTTTGTTTTGAAACACTCAACAAACTTCATGTAACTTTCTTGTAGCCACCGTATCCAGGTATGGAGCAGCCACCACACCACCCTTACTATCAGCACCATGCACCTCCACCTCAAGCTCACCCTCCATACTCAGGACATCATCCTGTACCGCATGAAGCAAGATACAGAGACAAACGAGTAGTAAGTGTCCACAGAGACAGAGTGGGACACAAGTCTGCAGGCCAGAGTAGGAACGGGAGGAATCTGGGGTACAGATGTAGCCTAACCTGAGATTTGTTGACTTTGAAAAACTGTGTTTTTAAGACTGTATTAGTTTTCTTTGGAAAGATCAATTATTTAGATTTGCTGCAGTCTTCCAGCATCTTTGAAAAGCCTCTTTCTCCCAGGTGATGTAGAAGTGCAAAATTCTAACAACATAAGCTGAGGTGTGTGCTTAAAATGGCTTCCAGCTGAACTTTTCATGCTGAAGCCCAGTTTGAAGAAGGACATGTCTGTAACATTCCTTGCACTCATGCACAACAAATCACATAATCAGCAGAAAAGTTTGTGTTTTATAACTTTTTACAGGCACATCAAAAAAACAGGGCAGATTGTTTAATAATTTCTGTTAGCTGGCTTTGAAGGCTGCTTAGCTTTCAGATCTCTTGCTGGTATCTGGCATTTGTTTGAACCCCAGCTTCTGCACAGTGGAAGCACAGACATGGTGCTGCCCTGAAGATGAAAGAAGAAACTTGTGCTTACGGATGCTGGACATAATTTTTTTCCTTTTTTTTTTTTTTTTTAAATACTGGGCTTTCCCAAGCGTTATTGCCAACCCTATGGATAAGGGAAGGGAGGGGATTTTGGTCTGGGAAAGAAAATAAGCAGAGCTGTCCTTTCATCACAGCATGACTACGACATGAGAGTAGACGACTTTCTTCGCCGCACGCAAGCAGTTGTCAGCGGTCGGAGAAGCAGGCCTCGGGAGAGGGACCGAGAGCGGGAACGGGACCGTCCTAGAGATAATAGAAGAGACAGAGAACGTGATAGAGGCCGTGATCGGGAAAGAGAGAGAGAGAGGATTTGTGACCGGGACAGAGACAGAGGTGAAAGGGGTAGATACCGAAGATAATCTATCTGGAACCAATGCTCACTTGAAACAAAAAAGGCTTGTATTTTTTTGTGTGTTTACAAGTAGTACGTTTTATTTTCAGCTGTCTACTTAAAGTTCGTTGTGTAGAAGGATTTATAATGACCCTCTCTATTCCAAGCATGCAGTGAACTATGAACTGGAAAAACTCAAATCGGCCAAAAATAAAATGCGCAAAGCTAACACTCAACTTGGTGTCTGTATTGAAGCAGAATGGGAAACAGCTAAGAATGTAGATACTAATTAATTCTCAGTAAGTGTTCATCTACTTAGTGACTTCATTCTGGGTTTTGGAATACTGATGGATAACTGCCTTTTTTTTTTTTTGCTTTGATGTTTTCTTCCTGTAGTTTCACATGGTTCAGTGAGAGAATGCTGCTATCAAGTATGCAAATATTGAAGTATGATTTTTTTTTTTCACTGTATGGCAGTGTTGTAGCAGCCCTTTTTTTCCTCTTTTTTTTTTTCCCCCCCTTCCTCCCTGTTTTTTAACCCTATCTGTAAAGTCAAGTGTTTTTTCTGTCTTCAGTAATTAAAGCAATATTAAGAAGACACTATTGATACATAATTTTTAACCTTTTTTAAAAATCTTCCCATGTTAAGCAACATTTTTGGTCAATTCTCTTGTCTAGTCTCCTTCCAAAATGTACACATTGCTTGGAATGTTCACAACCTGCGTGTGTGGAACCAGAAAATATTGCTGTATCTACGTTGCTGCCATTTTTTTTTTATAAAAATAAATTGTTAATTATTGAAATGATTAAAACTCCAGATCGGGTTTCTTGGTCTTCTAAGCTTGCCAGCTTTGATAGATTCTGGCAGTTCTAGGAAAGTATATGTGTTCAAAAATAGTTTAAATGTTCTTGTGATAGGTGAAATTGATCCAAACCATGAATTTAGGAGAAGGACTGCTGAAATAAAAGGTAATTGCTTGTCTGTTTCCACAGTGAAGTATTCAACTTGTGGCCCTTGCAGTTCATCAGTGTTATTAAGGCCTTAGAAGTTCAACTTAATCAAATGATCTTAGAGCTATTGACAGGCTGTCCTCAGCCATAATCATACCTATCTCCCAGGAGTGTGTTAGTGCTGCAAGATCCAGACTCTCCCCCTGTCATCTTTGTAGTGATTACTGCATCACTTGCTATTTTTCTTAAACAGGAAATATTTAAATGCCAATGGTAAAAGGGGGGGGGGAAGTAAAACTTGAAGTGGCAGTTGTCAGTTTCTCCAGCAATTTCCTAGTTCTCAAGACTTGTATGAGTAGCACTGCGTCCTTGGACATCTCCATAACCTTTCTTCAGTGTCTTCCCATGTAGCAAAGCCAGATTGTAGCATGTGCTTTAAGTATCTCCAACTCCACAGGGCTGAGTGCCGTAGCTGTTTTTATAAACTGCAGTGTAGGTTTGGCCACGGTGTGGCAGTTGTGGAAACTTGATGTTTAGATCTGACAATAATCTGAGCTCTGTATATTTTAGTCTACACAGCTGTAGTAAACATCTGCATGAGCTAAGCAAAAAGTTTGACCTCCAACGTGCAAGTGTGTTGGGATTTTTTAAACACTGCAAGAAGCTGAACATAGTTTATGTTCCTCAGAACAGTTTACTGTGTGCTGAAAGGTGTGCCCATCAGCAGTAGGATTAGATCAGTGTATCAGATTCAGTACACGTGCTGTGTCTAATTGGAGAAATGCATCACAGACCACCTTCATTCTTTCATGTCTCTGTGCTGTATATGGCGATCCTAGAAAGAAGAGGGGGGTTTTGGTTGGTTTTCTTCTTTACCTTTTAAAATCCATACTCGATAAGCCAGATTTCTCTGAGTAAGTTACAGAAAAGAAGCACCTCTATAAAGTGGCTGCAGAGCACTTTCTCTGTCCAACTTTTCCCAGCTACCCTGTTTCCCATGTCCTTCGTTACCTCTACCTGACCAGTGTCTGTGCGGTGTGCTAGGAGGCTTGCTGGCCTTCCGGCAACCAGACTGACATCTCGGCAAATCTGCTTGCAGAAGCTGTGTGATGGGGGCTGTTAGTGATCAAGCTTGGTGGAGCTGTGCCTAGGGACTCAGCTTTATGGACAGTTACAGCAAAACCTTTCAGATCTGGGGCCTGCTGTTCCACTTTGTGTTCACTGTGCATGTTTCAATATGCATATTCCTGCGTATGATCCCATTATGATCATAGGAACAGTGTACCAGAAATTACCATGAGAAGCACTAGTCTTGTTCTCACCCCTCTTTAGTTTGGAAACAATTCACTTGAGCTTTTGTAAATGTTGTAGTATGAAGACATTTAAGCAGACATTGAAACTATTGACAATGCTAATAAAAAAGTAAGCATAGTGTAGGAGATTTTATTATGTAAACAAATACAACATTTTCTCAGCCTGTTCTGTTTTAAAACAATCCTGCAGCATCCAGAATACAGCAAGTGTCAGTTAAAGTCGGGGCAGGTTCTTTGTTGGCTAAGCTGGCACAGCAGTGGAATAACCTTACCTAGAACAGGAGGCCTGAACTAGCATCATTTCAGTAGGCTTTCATTAGGAAGTGCACCTTGAACAGCTTCAGGAGTGCTGCATTTACTGCTGCTCTTATCTGAGCAGCATTATTTCTCCACGTGTTGTGTTACTTCTTTGCAAATTCCATCTCTAGAGGTTTTCCTGCACTTCTGCAGAGGCGTTTGGGGATTAAGATGGGCAAGTTACTGACAGAGGTGTTTTTCACATCCCTGTAGTGTTGCAGTTAGAATGATGGCCTGTGCGGCAGGACTCCAGGCACATACTGAATGGAAAAGAAAAATGGTTCTCAAAAAAGTAGTTTCTCTGCTGGCTTTAGGGCTCTGGTCTCCCCTCAGCCCCTGAGTAGTCAGTGCACTTGTAGAAATGTGAGCATACAGGCTTCACCAGTCATTTGCAGCTCCCAGTCTTTCATGACCTTGTCCATTCAGATGGGTGCTTTCTAGGACCCTGTGATCTCACTTTCCCTGTCCGATCTGGAGAGTGCTATTCTGACAGGAGAGGTATTTTGGTTGGGAATCGTGAAGCCTGAGTGACATTCTAGGGGAGGACAGAGTTACGGTAAGGAGACCAGCTGCAGATTGAGGGTTTCACAGTACCACATGGGAGAAGGCTGAATTTATGGAATGTACCAAAATGAATTTGAAAAGTTAAAGCAACAATTACCATTCCAGGGACTGTGTGCGATCAGCTGACAGGCTCCCAAGAGATAAAGCAACTATAATTCAATTTAGGCCAGAAGGAGTTTGCTGGTGAAGCAAGCAGCTCTGCCCCACAACAGCTTTATAGCATGACCCAGTTCAATGAGGTGCTTCATGGTGTGCTCACCTTAAAGCATACCCTGATCATTTTGTTCGCTAAAGAATATGCATAAATGCACTGCTCAGTCAGTCCAGGAGAAGAAAAAGTGATGGTGGGAATAGGATGTCTATTCTTTCTTCCTCTTTGCAATCCTGCCACATCTCCTATAGCAAAATAAGCAGCATTTGACAAGAATGAAGACTGCAATCGCTGCACAGGTGAACAAGAATGCCAGGACATCCAGGCAGTGGTACTGGTACCAGGTGAGATGATGAGCAGCTGGTCTCAAGTGCTTTGCTCCTTTGTGACGCATGACAAACTCAATCCAGAAGACAGCTCTGTCCAGAGGCTTAACTGGCTGGTCGTGGTGTATCTTGGATAACCTTAGAGCATTTTCCTTATAGCTGTGGAATAAAGAATACCAAGGAGATCTGTCACGGATTCCTGAAACAACCTATGCAACACTTGGAAGTCCTCTTGACGAAGGTAGACAGCCCTGCTTTAACGTTCATCAAAATATTATTTAAATATATTTAAAACTGGCCCAGTTTACTCACATCTGCATAAAATCGAGTTATGAGCAGTAGTAAAGAAAGCCAATCTTATGCAAAGGAAAGGTATTAAAAATTATTCCAGCTACTGCTTTAAAAAAACAACGTGGAAAAATTTGCGGCATTTTCTGTTCCAATATAATACAGTGTGCTGGTTTTGACTGGGATAGAGTTAATTTTCTTCACAGGAGCTAGTATAGGACTATGTATTGGATTTGTGCTGGAAACAGCAATGATAATACAGGCGTGTTTTCGTTACTGCTGAGCAGTGCTTACACAGCGCCAAGGCCTTTTCTGCTTCTCACACCACCCCACCAGCGAGTAGGCTGAGGGTGCACAAGAGGTTGGGAGGGGACACAGCTAGGACAGCTGACCCCAACTGACCAAAGGGATATCCCATATCATATGGCATGCTCAGCAATAAAACTGAGGGGGAGGTTGGCGGGCCAGCCTCGTGCACCAGATGTCATCCAGGTCTTTGGATGCCTGGTCATCATCCAGGTTGTTACAGATCACCTCCACCATGGCTGTTTCCCCCAGATACTGGATACCTCCATCAATGTTGATCCATTTGCTTTGGGAATTTGCAGGTTCTTCCTTCATGGTATACCTGTCCTTCGCACTTGACAGGAGACGCTGCCAAAGACTGAGGACTCCTGCCTTTTTTCCAGTCTCTTGGTCAATGGTCTTGTCCTTACCAAGGCATCCTAGCTCCTGGGCTTCCTTACGCTCTAATTCCTGACTGCTAGGTACAGTAACTTAAGGATATTGGTAACTCAGGGGTAGGAGAAAGGGTTGTTGTGGTCACAGACAGAGTAGACATAATACAACTAGAATTGTCATCTTGATTTATACAAGCTTGATTTATACAAGCAGAGAACAAAGAAGAGAGTGAGCAGAAAACTGTCTCAGGAGCTGTTCTGGGCTTACCAGGAACTATTTTTCTCAAAGGGACCATAAAAGGTAGCATAAGAAAAATCAAATTGCGCAACTCTCTGTGAAATGAAAGGTGGTTTTAACCGAAACCCAAACTCTAGCTACTCAGTATTTTTGGTCCCCAGAAGAGCCAGCAGAATTTCTTACATGAGCTGCGCAAGATTTTAGTAACTTCATCCTACTGTAAGGCAAGAACAAAACTCACGTGGAATTGTTAATGACTGTATTCACTGCATCAACTAGGTCCTGTGTCTTCAGTGTGCTGAAATCCAGCTCAACTGCAGCTCCCTTTGCCCTCATGTGAGCAATGTTGTCGTGCTGGTCGGCAAAGATGGGAATCCCAACCATCGGGATCCCATGGTAGATGGCTTCATAGATCCCATTGGTCCCACCATGAGTAATAAAGGCCTTTGTCAAGGGATGGCCTGGAAAGGAGAAGGAGAGACACGTGTAACAGCAGCTCTGGCTGCAGTGGCAGACTGCGTTCATTGGGACGTGAGCAGTGCGAACTACCTGGGCAAATGCACTGCTAGAGATGGGAACAGCCCTGACCTCTGGATCAGCATCGGAGCTTGCACACTTAGCCTTCAAGCATTCACATTTGCTTTAATGCAATGTGTGAATCAGCATGTTCCTCCAGACTACCCCAGAGTTACTTCAGTCCTTCTGCTGATGTGCAGTTCTAGTTTTTACAGATTCACAACAGCCCACTGCTGCAGCCTTGAGTAGGTCACACATTTTGAAGAATGAGCCCTGGGGATTAATTGCAGAGGCCAAATCCAGCTCTGGAGGACATGTCTACTTTGATATTTACTCCTGGTAAACAAGTGGTTCTTAGCCCTTCCAGACAATTGCCACCAAGCTCTGTAAGACAGAGGCTTTTGCTTTAGAGATCTATCTTTATAGCTAAGCTCAAGTTGTTGCCTTCTTGAGCCACTGCTCGCTACTCCCTTCACAGCCTGGCTGTATCTTCCATGGTTCTTGTACAGCCACGCACCTTAAAGTCAAAAGCAGGTTAGGGAATTAAGGCTCCATGAGCAAACCTCTGCTGCTTAAGCTGAAAAACTAACTGCAGCCACAAACGCTGCATGGTTCCTTTGCATGAATAAGCTATTTTAGTGGAAAAGCAACGAAGGAAACAGTATTTCCAAGGGCACAATGCATCGCAGATAGCATCAGTCTCACCAAGCAGGTCATTTTGGGGTATCCAGTCATAAATCCTGGTGTTGGAGCCCAGAGTTTCTGGGGTTTTTCCTTTGTACCGCCAGAGGACCTTGAACAAAGGAAGAATAAGAAAGATAGTGCATGTGATGTGCCTTTCTGTATTCTTACATGTAATGCAGGGCTTTGTCTCAGACCCATGTATCTTTTCCCAGTAATTCAAATAGCTTCATTCCAGTTTAGTTCTTTGATTAGTTATTATGTGCTTATTACAAAAAGCGCATAGAGCAATGACATTTTTATATTTTGGCCTATGGACACACTTCCACATCATTTGGTTCAGAGAAGAGGACACACCAGAACTCCCCAGGAGGTGACTCAGCAGTCTGCCTCTCTGCAGGGCCCAGCTTCCCGGTTGTGGCACATCCAGCAGAGATGCAGATAAAAAACAGGCCAGTCCAAACACAAAAGGCTCATTGAAGGCAACAGGAGTGACAAAAAGCAAGGCAAGTTGTTTTAGACTCGAAATTCACCTTTTGTGGAAGCTGGCTGAAGGCTGTGGCAAACACATTACTTTTTTCATCAGTTAGGTTGTAGACCATCGACCCGAGAGAGAATACCACGATGCCGTGTTCCCCTGCGCTCTGAACAAATTCTTCCATTTCCTAGGAGAGGCAGAAAACATACTAAGAGTAATTATGCGCTGCAGATTACACAGATTTCTGTGAACAGAGAGCAGAACCTTTTCAGCTTATCATGGAGATGATCGTGGTGTATGAGCACCTCCATTGGCAGAAGGGCATTACAAAGAGAGACCTGGCCCTGTGCAGAACAAACAGTTTCTCCCCAAGAAGGAGAAGGACAAGTTGAGACAGGTGACAGAAGCTTCGTCTTTTGGAAAGCAAGTCAAGCAGTTTCAGGACACGTTACTTTCAGAGCACAAGCAGCGGGAATGGATCGTGGCACTGGCACGAGAGGGCCGTACCCTGCGACACCATCCCTAGCACAGTCAGTCGTGGTTCTGGATTTTCCTGGAACAAGTACTTTCCATTTCATTCCCCTTCCCTTACTGCAGGAAAGGACAGTGCTGAAAACTGACAGTACTTTTCAGCATCCCGATCAGAGATGCATCGAGGTGCTGCTGTCACTTTGTTAGTCAGCCAGTTCTCTATTTCTTGCAATACAGCACACGTTGCTAAACAGATTTTCCACAAATCAGACCAACAGGTCTTCCTGTTTCTTTTTGTAGTTAGTGTCGTGTGAAATGGAGCAATAGCATCCAAAAGAGAACGGTTATCCATTTCCCCTAACTCGACCCCTGTTACAGGGCAGTGGGAGAAGAATTGGAAGGTTTTTTCTAGTGGACAACTTGCACTGAAAATACCCTATCTCCTCTAAGGTTCCTGCAGGAGTGATAATCTAGACCAGAGCTTGTCGTGTTGCCATCATCGGTGTCTGGGAGTTTCAGATTCCGCCTGAATATTGCCAGTCACAGCAGAGCATAGGCTGGAGATGCTGAGTATTTTACTGCCTTGAAGATGTCTTAAACTAAGCAGCAATAGAAAAAGTGTTCATCACTCATCTCTTTCTGCAAGTCTTGACTCCATTTTGTCTAAAGAACTTGTCCCCTCACAGTGCCTTTTTGCATCAGGTATTTCAGTGTTACCATGGGCTGCAAGCCTGTATCTTAGAATTAAAACTTACACTCTGAGGTAGCACCTATTTTTCCTAAAACACACACACTGTATTCACTCCTGCTGACCTCAGCTATCCTCTCTTAAGACAACAGGCTGCAAACCCAGCCCTAAGTGTGCACAAGTATGGCCAGGTTGCTAAATAGCAACATGCTCCACACCAGCAGCAGAGCATCTTTTTAAGAACGAGGTTTCTCAGGGCATGGCTTGCCTGGTTGGTCAGGGAGAGAAACAGTTTTTGTTCTGCTGGCCGACCAACCAGCCAGCAGCAGATCACAGCTGGGGTACCTTTGGTAATGGCTTTGCAGGCTGGCAATGAAGTCCTCCGACAAACTCAAAGTTGGGCAGGAAAGGGCGTGGAAATTCAAAATCCCAGTATGTTCTGATTAACCATATCTCTGCTTTCCCCATCGTCTCACACAGGGTTGTGGGCCTTCCTAAAGACAAGGTACAAGAGGTTTACAACACAGACAGGGACAGTCTTGTTTGCTGTAGGTTGCGAAATAGGAGCCTTACCTTTATCTTTCAGCACTCCCAGTCAGTGTAGTCTGTCAAATCATGCATGAAGTGAAAACATGGACAAATCCAGACCTATTCCTTGCCCCGTCCTGTGTTCGGCCTGGGCAGATTGCCATGAACAAGGCAATACAATCTTTGAAATAATTTTGAACCTTCAGGATAAATTTAGAGCAGTCCAAGAGTAAGTGGGAAGCATTTAGTTTCTGTGACACAGGAGTGCAATTCTTGTACCACCAAAAGACTTCATCACCTGTGCTTGTAATAAAAACGCAGTTTGAGGAAGAGAACAATCACAGAAAAAATGAGTTGCAAAGTGATGATCACCAGTCAGGGAGGAGGAAAGTTTTTAAACAAAATTCACTGGCATTTTTCAAATGGTGACTCAGACAGTGGCTGCTCAGACTACAATAAAGACAGGTACAGGCATCCCTAGTTCTCTTGGGGACGGGGTCAACTCCTTCTGACACATATTGGGAAAATTTGGCCAAATCCATAGATGCTTTGAATGTCATTTTATGCAACATCCAATGTCTGTAGAAATCCATCTATACAAAAAATCTAATGGCTAAAACTGTTTTATAGCTTCCCGTTCGGAAAAATGTATATTCTCAGGTACATGCTGCAAGTTGTCTTTGCAGTATTTTCCCCACAAAGTGGAACCAGGGAGTAAAAGGGTTAGAAGTGTTTGTAAATGATTTTCCAAAGCCAGCCTAATGCAAGCAGGAACCAAGCAACATAAACAGCAAAGTAAAATTATCTGCGTCTTCTTATACTACTTGATCAGCATTACAATTTACACCAGTAATTTCTTTTTTTGTTTTATTTTAAGTAAATGCAATGAGGCAGTTACCAAGTTAGTGGAGTGAAAATTAAGCCTGCATTACGAGTGATATAAAGGTCTAATTAAATCTTATGTGGTACTAAAAAAAAAATGAATCCAGGGAAAAGGGACTAGTTTGCAGAGCACAGAGGCGTTGCTGTAAAACACAGGGAGAGATTAAAGGGCAACAGAATAGATGACTTTGTGCTTGCTGTTCACTCGTTATCTACCTAAACATAGATATTCTGTACAAGGTTCAAAGTCCAGTGAACTGAAAGGTCTCTTTAATAGACTCTGAATTGAGCCCGAGTTGTACGAGGTTGGAACAGAAATTTCAGGTGTGTATCTAGTTTAAGGAGACTATTTCAAACTCTGAATGTGGATGAAAGGGAAAGGTTACAGTTCTTAGCATTTATTATTTGAGAATATGAACTCATGCTTAGCTTCATGTACTATGCAGGGTTGCAAGACAATACCTCCAGACAAGGCATGCAATGTGAATGAAGGGTGCTTTTTTGCTCTGCAGTTGTCCAGAGACAGCCAGTGATCCTAGTTACGACAGGGTTAACTCCACCCCTGTGTTGTCAATGGAGCTGTCTCCAGTGCCTTACACTTGGTTAAGGAATGATTTTGCCCTCCAGCCTTTATCTGCTACCATATTAATTGTAAAAGTGCCTGTCATCAAGATGAAGAGGCAACAGCTGTCCTCTGAAAGCACTAAAATGGGCATACAGCTCACCGCAAGAGCTCACCAGCAGTATCATCATTGACAAAAATTAGAACTAGGTGCTCTGAGGATCCTCAAGAGGAATTAGAGCAAAACTGCACTGGTGTCTGTTAGACTAGACCAGACCTACAAGGGAGAGCACAGCCTCCATGCAACCAGAACAGGATTACCATCTCTGCTGGCCATTGGGAAAGAG